ACAGAAGACTGATTTGTCCTTGGAATACTCTGAGGAGTTTGCTGGTCTGGAGCATCATGCAGAGCAGATACAGCTGAGATTATACCTGAGAAAGAAGTAGTGTATGATTTCCCCTAACATGGAAAGCACAGCCCTACATCTCAAAACTAGGTCACTGTTTAGATTTGTGGATTAACTGGGTATGAAGATATGTATCCTAGCTGCATGATTTGAGACAGTTATTTTTAATTAGTTTTTAATTGATTTCTCAGTTAATCAGCTACCAGCTCAAGCTGTCTTCTACCAAAAACTCAGAAGTGTCTGAAGTTATTAGACCTTTTGAAGCGAGGGAGGGAAAAGAATAGCTCCTCGGATCAAGTTTCTAAGCAACTTAATATTTGGTATGCCTAGACAACAACAATCAATTCAGAGGGCCTATGGCACCAAGGCTTAAATTCAGCTAATAGGGATTTCTGACATGAAATGTCAGTAGCAGTGATGGGTTTAAGCATCTAATTCCTGCCTTAAGGTGTTTAGCGCTTCCTGTAACCCTAGGTTCATTAGGGTATCGTTTTCCATCTCACTGGAGGGAGGCACGAACACCTCCTCCTGTTTTAATACTATTCTGCCCCACCAATCTGAAACGCCAATCCTCAGTGCTGCCACACTTTTGTTTATGTCAAGCTCTTTATAATCCATATCCTCCAAGGACTTTTTCTATTGCCCACTTGATAACCTCCAAAACCCCAAGATAAGCTTATTGGGCAACACAAACATTAGTTCTGCCATCCCTTCTTTCCTCAGCAGTCAAATATAGCCCTGCTTCTTGCCATAAAGACGTTACCTGAGGGAGACTGGGAATTCTGTTCTGATGGTTTAAGTGATCTATTCTGTAAAGGCTGAAGCCTCTGCAGTACATTGGGAGGTGGCTGCTGCACTTCACATGATCCATGATTTTGCAAGCCACTAGTAAGAGATGAGGGCTGTGCTTGCAAAACAACATTGCAGAATGTCCTCTGTAAACGCATCGGTATTCTCTAGAAAGAGATTGCAGTAGTTAATACAGCCAAATCTTAATTTTTATAGCTATTTGATCCCCTTTCCTCACTACCACCGCACTTCCACTGTTTACAGGATTCAGTAGTCCTTGTATCATGATACTAATCTAGCATTTTCTAAGAGTTTAGATGACAAAAAACCCAACCCATGAGGTGAAGTGCACTGCCTTGGTCTGACAGATACAGAAACCCCACGAAAATAATATGTAATATGAGGATTTGAAGTATGATGTTTGTCGTTACTCAAAGTCAGTTAGGGGCTGTTACAACTGACCAAGCTGAAGCTTAAGTCCTGTATCCTGTTTTTTCAAGTTTATTGCTGTCATTCTGTTACTGCAGAGGCTGCACTTTTTAAACAAGGAAAAAGGTGTTGCATAATTCCTCCCCTCAGTCTTTGCTTATGAAGATGCATAAGGAGCAGCTGAATAATAAATTTGCAGCCTAGTTTCCTGTATCCAGCTAAGCACTTTAAGTGAAAGCAAGTCTATTGTAAGAAGAATGAAGGCTTTGCTGTGATCTTGCTTTGAAATCCGAGGTCTCTATCTCTGGTAGCTTCAAGGGAAATTGTGAAAGGCAGCTAACCTTGACAAGAGTTAACACCCACTGTATGTACAAGAATAGAACAATTCAATCTTAGAGGCATTAAAAATTATTTCTAGATAAAACTGCTGTTGCTTATAATAATACCATAGTAATAAGTAATATAAAGTATCCTGAAAATGACTAGTATATTGTACAATTTATTTATTTTCAGGTGTAGAAGTGAGCTTAGTCATAGATAAAGGAAAAAATATTTAAGTGGGGTTTGCACTGTTTGTAAGGTTAATTCTATACTCAAAGATCAAGTTGAAAAGGATTTTCCTTTTTTGAGGTGGGAGGGATCTATGGAGCATTCTGCCCCTATCTTCTTTTCCCTTCTCCTTCACCCGACATGGAATTACCACAATGACTGTAAAAGGTAAAAGCCTCAGGAGTTCTCCTAGTTTCTACACAGTTTCTACACAGATACATAAGCTAGTTTTAACAAACATCAGATTTTACATCTCCATGTAAATCAGTCCTACAGAAGTAGCATTCAAGCCATATTCATTATTTCCTGATAAAGTTGTGTCATTTCCAGTACCACTGTATGTAACAAATAACTTTGTTTAGGGCAAAAATGTTATATCCATTCCAGTCAGTTTACCTTCGGCTTTTCCATAGAAGTTGGACAGTTCTGCCTGGCTCCAGTCTGTTTTGAGCAGGTTTCTGTAGCTGTAAATACAGCGAGGTGGGCAGAAGGAGGGGGATGGAAAAAAATTAAAATCAGTCATTCGCATATGTTTCATTATTCACACGTACAAGATGTGAGTTGCAGTTGTACCTAGAGAACCAAACTTCACAGTGAAAGGAACATTCTTCTTTGAATACTCTGACTTCAGCTTGATGTGTTTGGAGAACTTCTCCCAGATATAGAAAAAGACCACAAAGATTCCTGCAGGATCAAGGTCTTGGCTGCAATCAATGATTTCACTGTTTGCTTCCTCACACTGCAAAGGGTTGAGCATTCATCTCACCTTACACTGTTACCTCATACAGATATCTACATTGTAGACCTCCAGTTTGGCAGATCTATTCTGTCCTAGAAAACTAAAGAGTTTCAAGTGCAGAGCGAAACATCATTCTGATATCCTGATGCTGCAGCACTGTAATGTCTCTTGAACAAGCCTGAGACAGCTTAAGCACCAGGTAGACTGTGGCTCTACAGTCAATGCTGTTGGCACTTTTGTCCCTCAGCTTTGGGACTAAGCCTTACCCACAAGGTAAGGCGCCCTTCATGCTGCAGACCAGAAGATGAAAATAAAGTAAATCACACATTCAAAAAGGAATCAAAGCCACAAAGAGTAAGCTATAGCCTAATAGTCAAGTCTCCAGGTTAGATACACAGATCTCTTGCTAGCTGATTTTGGTCCCTAAAGTTTTTCACCGATAAGTTGAGTGGATGTTGTAGTGTTGGGTTGGTTTTTTTTTTTTAACCTAAAAATTAGGTAGGTAAAAGACACTCATTTAATAGTACTGGAATTAAGCCTTCAACATGGAGCAAATTACAGGGGTAACTGAAGTCCTCGGTAAGCATGTGGAACAGTAGATGCTAACTGAGAAGGCACATGTTTTGCCTACACAAACACAAAAAGAAGCTTTCTGACCCGATTCAGAGTCACTGCTATCTGAGGAGCTAGAACCACTGCTAGTACTGCTTCCAGAGTCCGAGGAGCTGCTGCTGTTGCTGCTGTCGCTCAGCCTGCTTGGTCCAATACTGGACTCAGCATTGTTTTCAACTGCAGGAAAAAAAAAAAAAGAATTTAGAACGACCTGCAGTGGAGCAGTCTTCATATACAAGGCTAGGATCAACCTTGTTAGGTCTATTCTCCCATATAAGACTTGATCTTCTGCCATTTCCTTGTCCACTGTCCATTTAGCAGAGGATTTGAGACCTTTATAGACGAGGGAGATTTACCAGCAGCAAGCTAGCTGAATGAATGAAATAGCCAAGGAGAGGCTGTAATCACACAACTTACAATCCTGAAGTAGGTTAAAAAACTGTGCTGTCTTAAGACACAATTCAAGCAATTTTCCCCCCTAAGTTTTCCTGCTGTTAAGAGCCTGTTTCTGTGCTTGTTGCTGCTGCCAGACTTGCATGCTGAGATCTTTATAGCCAACTCTCCTCTTTCCCAAGCCATATGTACTCCAAAATTGTCATCTTTTGCCACCTCCCCACCATCTGACTATTTTGCATCTGCAAGGATTAATTTAACTCAGTTTATGGGGATTTTGCAGTCAAAAAGCTTTTTCAAAATGCGTTGCTCTGATGGAAGCTTTGAAAATGAGAAGCTACATGGATACCTGTTTCCCTGGACACAACTCTTTGTTAAGTGCCAGCTTAAGATCTTCCCTGTAAACAAGCCAGATGCCGCTTAGAAAGATTCCCTGGCCTGTCTCCCCCCTCTCCCCACAACATATCCTTTGCAATTGATTTCGGCTCTGTTGCAAATGAATAAAAGTAAGAGTCACATTACACTTGAGGTTCTCCTTCTTCGGGTTTAGTTGACCATTGACATCCAGTAGTCTCTTCTCTAGCTCTTGTTTCCTCTCAGAACTCAGTTGTTCTTTTGACTTTGTTGTTTTTTTAGCTGCATGTGAAACAGAAGTTCACACTGCAGCAAAACAGAAAACAAATCTAGCTGTTTTGGTGTGTTGGTTTTTTTTTTTAAGCATCATTTATGCTACATACCCCGTTCCTTTCTTGGTCTCTTCTTCAAACAGGTTGCCACATATTTCTCTAGTTCTCTGAGCGTTGAAGCCTTTAAAGTTTCAAAGTCTATTTCTATCTCATCAGGGTTAGAGTTCCTCAGTGAAGGTTCTCTTGACTGTATTATATGGACTACTTTCCCAAGCTTATCTCCAGGGAGTTTATTTATGTCCAAACTCAACTGTCTTTTTTCATCATAATTCATAGGCTTGGCACCATCTTCATCTTCTGACTTATGTGTCAACAAGACCTGCTGCATGGTTTTCTTTGATTGACTGCAAGAAAAAAGTGTACTGCAGTAACAGCAGTTTAAAATAGTTCAACACCCACACAAGCCCCCCACACTTACAAGTTTAAAGACAGCTTCTTCTTAGATTTCTTCTTGTGTTTTAGATTTTTCTTCTTTTGAATCAGGCTTTTTATTTTGGCTTTTTCCGTGTTGTTACTTTTCTCCCTTTTAGCCTTCCCTTTTTTCTTTTTCAGTCTAGGTAAGTATGCTCTGGTCAAAGCCCGCAACTGCTGGTGAACAGCTTTAAGCTATCAAAAGCAAAAAAAAAAAAAATGCTGATAATCTTAGGCAATGTAGGATGAACAATAAACTGGCCCTAAATATCAGAGATTTGTGGCAGCTGAGCAGATATTAATAGGATGTTTGCTTTCCAAATGAGGTTTATTTTCCAAGCATCTTACTATGTTATACATTAGTCACAGACTACGTATATAGAAGATGTAAGGCTACTTATTTTATGCAGACATTTCTAACAGCGTATGTCTTCTAGCATCCTGTGAAGAATAAAAAAAGCAAAAGTCACTGTAGGAGTAGCCAGCAGCTTCTCTTTAATTTCAAGCATTTGGGAAGTACATAAGTGCCTTATTAGGTTAGACCCCTACACTGTTACTGAATTAGGCTAGTGGGACTGCGCTTGTGCACCTTCAACCCATAAACCCCAGATATTTTGTAATATAAAATGGCTAGCTGGGACATACTAACAGCTTCAGAGAAAGACCTAACACAAGTTTGTTTAAACCTCAAAGGAATTAGAAGGAAGATAGACAGATGATGAGAATTAGAATTCAGATGCACTGAAATACTTCACTATTTCAAAGGCTGTCTTGTACACTTTTGGTTGTCCTCATGTCTATATTGATGATGTATATGCTACTCTGACAAATACTGAAAACTGAACTGTCCCTCATTTGACTAGCAGAACAAATGCTGGTTTCCCCCATAGTTCGTAGATACAGCAGCAGCAGGTTAAAGCATAATGTTCAAGCAAAAGCAAGACCCATTCCACTCTTAGCCAGTGAAGCAAAGCCATGCTTCACATTAGCATGAGATTCCTTCTGTTTTACTTCATGCTGAGCTTTCTGAAGTAGAATTTAATGACTTGCTTTTGTGTGGCTCAAAAGAGACTGAGCGAAAGGACAGAGCTCTTCAACCATATGAAGGAAATGCCATTGTTCGAAGAACATGCCACTAAGCTATGTGTGGAGTATCTGGATGCTCTCATCATACCACAGCAACACAGTTTTCTTCTTTACAAGTTTGAGAGTCATCTGAAGAAATGGTAGGCAAGAGTACTAGAGCAATGATTCACTATAAACAGTTTGTATTTGCTGAGGCACTACTCACTTAACATTTGGAGGTGCTTCCAAACAGGAATAGTACTAAGAAAAACAAATAACTATAAAATCTTTTAAATACTGATTCTTGGTGCTAAGCCTTAGAACGACAATTGCAAGTGGCAGTATCAGAGAGATTGTAACAGTCATGCAGATTGAATACTAATGCTTACTTGCTCCTGAAGCTTTGCAAGGTGCACTGTTCTCTCCTGTTCAGAGTCTTCAGATGATTTTTCTTCTGAAGAGTCATCATCACTGCTCTCACTGGAATAAGCTTCTGTCATGTCTCTTGTGGGCTGTGGCAGAGGAATACTTGCAACAGGTTCATCAGGAATTTTGGCAAAGTGCATCTCAAAAACATCCTAAAGAGTTAGGTTTGGGAACAGCAGAGAGGTCAGCATGTTTTTCAGATTTCTAGAAGCATTATGAAGTTGTTGCTTGTTTTCTAGAACTACACAGCAACATAGTAGTTGGTGACATTAGTAGATGCTACATCAGGACATGAGATGATGACCACAAAGGAATCTTATAGTCCTACTCTTTTTCAAGTCTGACTTAAGTGATAACTCACCTGAAGTTTTCTCGCCATAGCAACTATTTCATGGTCTGGAGAATTACGTTTGTAGCAGCTCATGAACATTAATCTAACATCCGTAGCAAATTCTTGTATATCTCTATATTCAAAATTATCCATTTTCTTCTAGAAGAAAAGAAAATTAATGCACATTTAGGGCTTAAAAGTGGAGAGCATCACCATGAACTGGCAGAAATTTGACATCCAGTATCAGGTTCAGCTTGTATCAAGACAGTAAATATTGTAAGAACCATTATGGAAAGACCTGCTTCTCATTTCAAGGGGCATATTGTCCCTTTAACAAAGTAAGGGAATTTCCTCTTTTAAAGAGATTTGCTAACTGTAATTGCTGTAAGGACTTTGTAGTACTAGTTTCAGCACTAGGTCAAGACAACAATGTTTGGGTGATTTTATTTGGTCATGTACTCAGCACTTGTTTCCGATTCTAAGCATGGTATTTATACAAAGCCTATTCCGTAATTGTTTGACTCAAAGTAATTGGCTAGAAATTGGGAAATAACCTTTATATTGCGCAAGCCAGTTCTCAGGATAATTCAATAGTCTATTGAAATACAACCCAGCCCACAAAGGTAGATCTTAACTTGGCTAAATACTTCAACCCCAGACAGATGTGCCCAGTGCTCACAAAGCACTGGCCACATATCTCCATCTAGAAGGGTTCCTTTTCACAGAAAGTGTGAAAGGTGTCACGTAAATATCCGGTGTTGAGGTTCCAGGGCACTTCACCAAGGATAGTGAGATTCAGAGAGAAGCAGAAGTTGACATTACAGAATTGCATTTTGTTTTATAGAGCATTAGCAACAGCATCGTGTATATAGACTGAAAGGTATTTAACATGTAGCCTGCTTGGAAGTGCTTCATGGAGACGGTAATTCCCTCACTACTTATATTAGCTTGTTCAACAAATAAGTAGATTAGCCACTATGCACATAGTCACAATGAGGCTTAGAAGACTTTCTTCAGTGAGCTGTGGCTTAGTTTGCTGAGAGAGATAAGTGTATATGGTTTCTATGCCTGGTATTTCTTTCAAAGGAGAAGCAGCTTTCATGACACCTTTTCAGCTAACACTATTAAAATCCAGTCATTACACAAGTTATTCAAGCAAGCGCACAAACAGTCCAATTCCCTCCGAAATATACTTACTTTAATGGTTCCCAGGTCTGTAGGACATTTGGTGGTCCCTTGGTTCTCACCAAGCGAGAAAGATGCAACATCTACAGGTTTTAAGAAAGGCCACGCATAAGCTGCATGTTTCTTTGAAAACATTTCTTTAATTATTTCATTACAATGTTTTAGTTGTTCTGACAACTGAATCTTTTTAAGAATTTCAGGTGGCTGTTGAGAATCTGGCAAGTATCTCTTCAGAAGCTTATTTGGTATCATACATTCATTTTCACCTCTGCGTGCTTTAACAGCTTTTCTTTCATTAAATGTTGCAGAAGATTCACCGCTTGCTGTGAATATTGAAGTAGTAGGAGTTGTAGTGTCAGCCTTCCTTTTCACACCTTTTTTTGCCTAGGAAGAGACAATTTTACAGTCTAAAATACAGGTGTCCAGAACAGTCAGAGAATAGTCAGCTTTCAGACTAAGCAAAAACAACCCAACCACCTAAAAGTGTCAGAACTTTTGCAGCTATTGAGCCAGAGCAGAATGTGGCACTTGACACGTTTAGACTGAAAACCTGCAAGGCGTTACAAGATCAGCATGCCAAGCTCAGTCTTAGATGAAAAGGAAAGAACAGGGTGTACTGCAGGTCAGGTTGTGGTCAGTTTTTAGCCATTTGAGAAGACTCCAAGAAGCTGGTAGGTTATGAAGTTACCACAAGATGACTGCCATGGGAAGGGGGAAAATTACTGCAATTCATTTGAAGCCTGGTTGAGGGCCTTATGTACAAGGTTTATCTCTTTCTTTAGCCTGGGTGGTATTCGGTTTGGAAGCGATACAATGTGTGCTTTGTCATCAGTGTTCAGACTCTTCAGTAAAGTGTAAATATACACTGTAGGAGAGCCTGACATATGTGCCAGGCTTTTTGCTCTTTCCTCATTGGAAGAGCAAAACCAAAACTAAGTCAATAGAAGAGTGTTTATTTGATGAAAATGTCAGATGTTCACATACAATTCAGATTGGAGTTAACAAGAATTTGCTTTCGTGAGCTACAAACACCTTCCAGGCTAGTTACACAATATTCAAGCAAACATGCTATTTTTGGGAATCAAGCATTTGATTTACATTGAAAACATGAGAAGTTATTAGATAGAACTTAGAAAGAGCTTTATTTTGATACTAAAACTATTATCTACACCTCAAGGAAAGAAGAGTTTCTACATCAAGGTGAAGCCTGCAGAAGCATAGTAGTACACTTCAAGAATAACTATTTTAAAGTTCACTTTGTTTCTTTGAGAACGACATTTTAAAACCACATTTATAAGAGAAGTACCACCAAGCAGTCATCCCAATTTCTGCTTAGTTTCTAGAATTAGTACTGGCCCAGTTATTTAGCAGAGGCCTAGAAGATTTAATAGAGATCTCTTACTATCTTCTATCACAATAGAAATTTTGAAAAGATATTGCAATAAGCATGGCTCCTACGGTTTTGCTGTTAGTGCCTGAAGCAGTAATTTCCATACCTTTCTTTCTGAAAGTTATTTGAGGAAACTTACCTTTGTTATAGGGACTGCAGTTGGCATTAAAGCAGTCAGCTGAGCTGCAGACAAAGGAGCTAGTGTAACCTGATGTAGCTCTTGAGTCATCACTGGAGGCTGCTCACTGCTTTCAGCTTGTTTCTGCATTGTGCTTTGTTCATTTGAAGTCCCAGGGTTGGGCTGCTGTGTTTCTGGTTATTTTAAAACAGAAAGTTTTAAAGTTAGATCTTAAATGTCGCAGTTATTTTCATTCATGATCAAATTGAACAGTTGTCGACAGAACCACTCTTCCACACTCAAACTATACAAATAAATACAAACAAGAGCATTGTTCCATATAGCAACATTGGTGTCCTCCTCTACTCAGCACCATTAGTACCTCAGCTAGAATATTGCACAAAGTTATGCATATTTGGCTTCAAGGAGGCTGTAGATTAACCTCAGAGGGAAGATTAAAGAGACATCACACTAAAACCTATACCTTGTAAAAACGTTCTTGCCAAGAAGAGAATTGAGTTGTTTTCTACGTACACATAAAGACAAGCAGCAAAGGGTGCATCAGACTGCATCACAAAGGTTCAAGTTTCCTAAGCATAGTTAAGACCTGCATATATTGCTTAGCAATATTACAGATGTCCATCACTGATTTGAGGACAGTTTAGACCAATGTTCTTCTGTATTTGATTTGGCTGGTTAGATTACTAATGTCTTTTCCAGCTCTGTGATTCTGTTTAGGTCCCATAGATTTTCACACCTATTAGTTTATATAACACAACGCTGAGTAACACCATGACATTCTCTGAAATGGAAGTCAGTTGCCTTTTTTTTTTTTAAAAAAGGGAAATAAGCTGTGTGTATAGATCTGTCTAAAGCCAAAGTCTGCAAAAGACAGGACAGAAACATTTCCTTGATCATAGCAGCGTGCTCTATTATCCAATTCAGAAAGAAGCGCTTAGAACATTTCAAAATTTGTACAAGCTGCATGTTTGTGTGTGCAAAGGGAATGAGGGGACTTAAGGAGCATTAATACCAGCAAGATAGTGTTTAATACCAGCAAGATAGTGTTACGAAAGCGTCTCAACAAATTGTTGCAATCATTTGAGAACCAAAAAGCTAACTCAGCTTCCAACACGTTTCTCAACAGAAGTCTCTTCTGGGAGTCACTTCTACCTGTTCAACCAGCATATTTTGCCAAGGCAATGAATTGCTTGAGGTTTTACTCAAATAAGCTAGTAAGAGCAGGAAGCCAGCTAAGTATCCTCCTCTTCCTCCTAACGCCCTAAAAATTCTTGTGAAAGGACCAAGAAATCCACTGCTTTTCCATATCCATCTACAGATCACTGAAAGGTAGTGTTGCTCCTCAAATATACCTTGAGGAGAAAGCTAGAGAGGTCTATCAAACTGTAATACTATTTTGAAGAAACATTTGTTTCAGATAGTACCAGCAACAAGAACCACCACACAACAAACAGCAGTAAAAGAAGCAAATGAAGTCATCAGGAGACCCTGGAGAGCTGCGTAGTTGCATAGCTAAATAATAAGAGCATCTGTTAAGTGACCCAGAAAGAACTGAGCTAGCTAAGATCACCGCTCTACGGCTGTCAGAAGGCAAATAATTAAGAGGTATCAGGGTAAAGAAGTGCTGCAGCTCTTTCAAGACGTAGCTAACATTTCCCCAACAACTGACAGCAGTACCTGAAGGCCAATTTGGAAGGCTACCTTAGAGGTCTCCAAATTAACCCATTGAGATGCACATGTGATTCCAGGCACTGCATAGTCTTACTTCTATCATATAAATATTTATTCTTTGGCAATGTTGAGAGCTTAGATGTAGAAATGAGCACTTTGTACAAGTGGAACAGGTTATAAGAGCAATTAAAAAGACATAGGAAGTCAGTGATGAGTAATAAATTGCAACTAATCACCTGGCCCCTTGCAATTAGGCTTCCCAATGTCACTTCAAGCACTTACTATGTAATTTCCTCATAAGTTTGAGAAGTCTTGACTGAATCATCCTTTTTGTGTGTGAGAGCACTGCATTTCACCAGAAGTTTGCCTGTGAAGCTTTGCCATTACACTACTGATAGAGTTGTTAATTCTGATTTTTACCCCCTCTTAAACACACTTCAGTAATAGAAATTAGAAAACTTAGCTAGTACCTATAAAAAAATATGGCTGCACTGAATCTGCTAAAGCCTTATAGGAATGTTGTTATTTGTCTGATATGCTCTGGGAAGAGTGGAGAACACCCTGACTGCTCCAAGGTTGAGTTGTGACAAAGCTACGGAGGAGTCCCTGTTTCCCGCTTGTGCTTGTTTAATAAGTTAACAATTCAAGATATAATACAGGCCTTACCTTCTGGCTTCTTTCCTTTTCTCTTTCCTTTGTTGAGAATCACTAGTCTTTCTTCTGGTGGCATTTGGGCTATTTTCTGCATAAACACTTTTTCTAGTTCTTGGGCCATAAACACAATGTCATCACCAGGCTGCAAAATATAGTCAGTAACATTGAGAGTAAAGGAGAGGCTGCAGTAATGGAGGGCTACCTTGTAAGATAAACAGTCTACAGAAAGAATCCTGCTCCAACAGATTGAAACAAGCCACGAGTACCAGAGAGGTCTAGAAGTCCTTGCCATCCCTGCCCCCCCCCAACTCACTTTAATACAAATTGCTTCATTATTGAAATACTCCTTCTCCCACTGTCCCGTTGCACAGTCCTACTTGCTTTATAGCCACATACTTCCCACAGCAAAGGGAAAAGGGGGCAGATCTGTAACTCCATTACTCATTCCTGTGTTCTGAAGAAAGCTGTTGAAGCTTAAAGATACTAAGACACAGCCAACAAACATCCAAGCGCAGGGAGATGCTCACACTTCAAGTTAGGTTAAACTTGTTGGAGGAGCGGAGCATGGCTCAGGGTTGCTAGCCTTAAACTTGTATAGCAGTTACACGGTGCTTGCTATTCATGAGCTCTGCAACTAAAACCCAGAGATTTTGCAGGCAGAATCCTTGTGCAGACAAGATGATGCGCTCAGTTGTAACAGCAGGCTAGACTTCGCTTACATGCCCTCAGTCAATCCTAGCAACAAAGCCCCCTCCACCTTCCAGAGAAAATAGTTTCAAGAAATCATGAAGACATTGACTGATTTAGTGCAGGCTCTAATAACCATTTGCTTGTTTTAGATTTGTTCTTATTGTTCAATACCATTGGTTACTCGTGTTCCACATACCTTGTTATATAGGTAGCAGTTTAGGAACATCGTTTTAAAGTCTTCAATGCATTCCACAGCTTTTGTGTAGTAATTGTGTTCCAGACGCTTTTTAATGGTGCTCAAGTCCATAGGTTTCTTTATAATACTGTAATAATCCTGTGGTTTTGAAAGAGGTAGTCACACAACAGATATCTTTAATATTAGGACATGAAGATTCTTACACATTTAGTTATGAAAGTTAAATTGCAAGAGAGGGGAGTTGCATTATGTTGGAGGGAATATTTTATTTAAAGAAAAAAAATACCCAAACCCAAAAAACTTTCCTCTATAGTCATAGGTACCACAGAAGTAAGTGTTCAGGAGCTCTTCACCTTGTATTTTCTCTTTCATGTAACATCCACTGTTCAAAGCCCCAAATATTTATTTCAATAGGATTTGGAGCTATAATGGTAGCAGTACTTATGAAAAGTATATGTACTTCTCATTTGTTACCTCAAAGCCATTTACCTGAAGTAGCACTCCAATTTACAGAATGGGGGGGAAAAGAAGCCAGAGACAGACTTTGACAAAGACTCAGTCACTGACAAAAAGAAGCCGCCAAGTTTTCACAGTTGCTGATCAAATACTTCATCCCCTGGGTTATATTGGCTCTCCTCTCAGGGTTAGTCTAGTGAAGATGTGGCAATATGACTGAAAGGCAGCCGGAATGTGAACTATTGCGATAGCATGGCTAAAAGCTCGTGATTAAGAGCATGAGGCTAACTCCCTGCTGGTGCATTTAAGCAATCAGAACAGGAATATCCCCACTAAGTTCACATATACATTGTAATTGTGTGAAGTTACTAATACTTCAAAAGTCTTCTAAAGCTGTCCTAACAATCTGTTTCAGTGAAATAAAAAAACCCTAAATACATCATAGTACAGACCATTGAATTTACCAAAACAAAAGCAAGAAAACTTCTAAATAATGCAGCTAATAATTAAGTGTTGTCCATTCTGCATCCTCTAACACCTGGAGGAGAGAGGCAAAGGAGGCAAATACCTTCATTGTCCCTGCCATGGAGCCAGAGGTTTGCTTGTTATTGTGCAGTGGTTGAACTAACACATACTTTTAGAAGTCAAGTGGCTGCCTTAGAAATCCAGAGAGGCAGAACTGGCCGGAGGCCAGCTGCAAATGTTGCTACAACTCTGATTGAATGACCCTTAATATTAACCTTAAGTGACAGATCCTTCCAAGAAAGAAAAAGGGTAAGAAAAGACACAGAAAGATAGTCACTTTGACTGTGCTTTTGGACAAACTGACCAAATGAGTTTGTAATGAGAAACAGCTGCAGATAAAGGCTTCTGCCTGCTCTTCACAGAAGCAATGATTTTGTGGAATTAGTCTTAGAAATTTGAGATAACTAAATACAATTGCTTAAGCTGGGGCAGGTGGGGGGGAAGAATCAAAGGAAATGTACCATGGTTTTATTTAACACCTTTCTACTTATCTACCAAGAGCAGTATCTTCCAGGTCATTTGAAATACCATTGTGTGAGTAACCAATGTTTTCATTTGACTGAAAAAGCTGGGATGATCCAAAACTGGAGTCTAAAGATACCCGAATTAAGAAAATTTGTCACAAGACGTTATCATAATTCACTTTGTTGCAATTAAATAGTAACATAAATAAAACCCACAAGGCAATACAAAACAAGAATTTAAGCATCAGGTCTTCTATTTCCTAGAAGAACGTTCTACGGCTGTGGTATGATGAGAATACCATTCCTCTTTTTTTCCTTCCCTATTTTTGCAGGATCATTTAATTCCTCTAGAAACTTCAGAGCAAGATGCCAAAGTTGATGTGAAATTAAGAAGCACTACAAGTGTAATTACTTCTATGCATCAAACTGGATCCAGATTTGCCTATTTACTTTAGGGTCAATCAGATCTGCTTTCCCATCATGAAGTATTTGACATTGAAGGAGGCTGGCCGCCTCCTATTAAAAATAAAAAACTCAAAGGCAAAAACAAGTATTCATCATATGCAGTGTTAAGAAATATGGCTAAACCAGCAGGGAGGTGGAAAGAAGACAAGACAGAACGCCAACATCCAGAAACTTCAAGAGGCCTGTGTCAGCATTCTTATTATCCCTTAGAAATATTGATTTACTACAGTCTCAGATCAGAAAGCAAACGAACAAAGATGCAGCATTTAGTATAAAGCAGAGAGAGAAGACAGTTTCCTTGCAGACTTGGATTAATGAAAGCAGTTCATATGCAAAAGTAGTCTTCCACAATCTGTTGCATCACAAAAAACTTTTAAACTAACATTAATTCATAAGTCCTGTAATACTTTAATTTATACTTTATTTTATTAATTACTACTTTAATTAATTAATACTCCAATTCCAAAATGGTTCTTACAGGAAGATTCAGTGCTGCTGCATCTACGGGCTGATGAAACGGCCAGGAAAAGTTGTGTCTCCACATGGCTTTCATGACTACCCTCTGTAAGTACTGAAGTTGGTTTGTTTGACAACCGCTGTTTTTGTTATTTATATATTCTGGTGGAGGAGGGTTAATAATAATAGAACGGTGTTGGCTTGGAACAGACATCTTTAGCAAGTTTGTATGTCTGCTTTTCAAAGATCTTCATTATACATCTAACCTGGGGGAAAAAAAGAAAAAATAAGTAGCATTCAGTGAAGATAACTAGATTTAATGCTGTTTACATCTTCACTTCTGTTTGTGGAGTGTCAATACAGGCATACCTTCATGGTTTAACCAAGACGCATTTGTTTTACAGTGCATAATTGGATGCGCTGGACCACTAGAGGTCAGTTCTTTAGGTTGTAAACAGCTATATTTGTAAAGGCTTACAGAGAAGGCACGTTGAGATCTGTAAGATTTCCCTAGAAATATGCTTCCTCATCAAGGTTCATCTATCGAAGTCTAGGAATTCATCCTCTGCCTCCCCCCCTCCACAGATGGAGTTCTATAGAAGAGGTTTAACCTAAGCAGCAGCTTTACAGCACACACGGCAAGCCTCACTTAGCACACGGCAATAGTAGGTATTACCTTCCTCGTGCACCTCAGCCAAGTCACCACACAGAAGTCCTACAACTGCCAATAAAATGTTTTAGCAGAAGTGTATTTCGAAACAGTGCTTTTCAAATTTGTGTATACTCACAACAGTATTTTCTGCCACCGTGCATCAGCTTTGTTATGTACCAGAGGACTATAAAAGGTTCATTCCCCTCGCCAAACGGTTTTGGATCATTTTAAGAACACTGCAAGGAGCAGCCATGGTAATTTGTCTTTAGCCAGTGCAGTGTTGCTGTGCTGGAGCAGAACGTGCAGGTACTTGGGAATGGCAGGAGCTGTGTTTTGGGGTGCATAACAGCAGCACTAAGTTAAGCAAGACCTTCACCAAGCACAATTACAGAAGTTCCAGTCCTTGCCCTCCTTCTTAGCTCATCATTGAGTTACAATCACTGAGTCAAGTCTCACTTTCTTCTTCCCATTAAGACAAAAAAGCACCATATTTTCTATTCTAACATTAGTTCCTTGGTTTACCAATGTAACGGTTTCTTTTTGTGCATTCATTCCATCAGGCGTTACTTATTCCATTCTCAATTTGTCCTGCTTTCTGCTAAAAAAAATATCTGATAGCCTGATTTTCATCATGGTATAAAGTATTTCACGAGTTTCAGAAAAGGTCATAATAAGCTAGATAGCTACTGTTATCAGCGCACTGCTAGAACAGTATCTATGCCCCACTCTTACAACAACTGTAACATCCCATCAGACATTACATGTCACACATCTTACATTTTCGTCTTTGTTCTTTATTTCAGCATTCAAAAGCATGCCTCTTCTCAAACAGCTCTTGAAGCTGAAGAGCTGTTCTGATTTCTCCCCCCTGTGTTCAGTCTAGTCATTTACAGAATGCAGATGTCTTTCATTGAACAGTACTGCCATCAAGGTAAAAGTTTTCTTTTTTCTTAAATAAGGAAAACTTATCAAACCTGAGTTGTTAATACCAGGAACAGTTCTCGTCTACGAGCCAGCATACCTACGTAGACACTACATCAGTAATAAATGTAGTACAAGATCAGATTGTTTTGAGGTCCGCAGTAAAGCAGGTATCAAAATTACTGGTATTTTTCATAATACTGATTTCACTTGAGAGGACAATTTTAATAGTTTAGGCATGAAGTTTTAGTTTCAAGTCATATAAATAACAAGCTGGGTTAATTTTAAATTGGAGAATAATCATCCTCTGTCACCTGTTGTCTTCTGATGAGACCAAATCTAGCACTTACATTAAAACAAATTTCAAAAACCCAAAGGGAACCTAGTTTTCCTGGAATAAGATATTCAACTGCCAGGGTACAGTATGTGCAAGACAGCTTGCACTCTACAGACAGAGAAGATAGAGTCTGCCTTGTGCTTAACAGTGTGCTGACTCTGAAGTTAGGCATTTCTCTGCTGCCTGCTTTTGCAAAGCTAGTTGTTACAGTAGTAGGTACTGGAGCGTGCTGCAGTAGGGAACTTGGTCTCTTTTTTAATTCAAAAGTGACTTCATGATCTAGGTTTTTTTCCCCTGTTCCCACTCTTTTCTTCCAGAGGGGCTTAGAAACACCATAACTCACAATACCTCCCTTTAAAATACTGACGTCCCAGCTACCTCCTTACAGAAAAGTTAACAGATTTAATCTGTTAGCTATGTATCATTTTGGTCTCAGGTGCTGAGGCACTAACAATATAGCACAAAACGCGTGGCTATCAGTCTTGCAGCAACTTATTTTCTCCTAAGGAGAGGCTGGTATCAGACCAACCTGCTCTTTTTGACCACTCATTCTGTACTTTCAGTTGGAGATGCCCATAGCTACCCAGAGGGAACCCAGCCAGCTGGGGTAGTGAGAACAACCTTACTGGCACCGCCCTTCCCATCGGCACAGGACCCTGCCTGCCTCCTGGCACAAGCCAGGAGTGACAAGCTCACCAGACACCTCCTGCTGACGCAGTACCCCAGTTAAGGCATCCGTGTTGCTCTCCCTCTGTGCAAGCAACATCCATTTGGTTTCTAGAGTTTGCTGCACACATTTAGAGTTTGCATGCCTTGGAAAACAGCAACACTTGCCTAATATGAAAAGTGAACGCAAATGTAATTTTTGTTACCAAGTACACAGTCTCAGGCTTTGCATGTCTTTTATTCAGACGGAGACACACAAGCAGGTAGCAGTATCCAAAACAAGAAAGGACCAGAACTTAATGGAAAGTTTTATGCTGAACTTAGACTCTGGAAGGCCAAGTGAATTCCAAATATTGAGTCGTCTTGTGTACTCTAGCAAGAGGGGGAGGAAAGGAAGGAGGAGAGCACAAAGATTAAGGGAATAACAGCTGCAGAAGCTGCAATTTCCTCATCTTTTCCAGCACTACAGACATACAAAGATTTTATACCAACATGCACAAACAACTAAGTGGTATCCTCCATTCTCTCCACCCAAATATATGTTTCATATTTGAAGGAATATACACTCCCACCCCCAAACAACATGTAGCTGCATCCAGTCCCAAGAGCAGCTGCTTTGGCTAGAAACCGTTTCTATTGCTATATGGCATTTCTTGCACCAGCAAGAATTTACAATAGAAGTTAAAACAAGTCAAAAAAGCTGAAAAACTTAAGTTGAATGCCATATATATTACACCTTAGATAAGCAAAGTGCATGTAGTTTGCACCACCACACATCATGCTAAATGCTAACCCTTTCACCAATGTATGTGTCTCAGAAAGGAAAAATCCAGACGCACACATGATCTGCCTCCCCTGTAACTGGTCAGTATTAGAAAAACTCGGAAAAGTTCTGAGGCAGTTTTAAGAACCCCACAACCCAGCCAAGTCCATCATCCACTGTTTTCATCTATTAGGCCACGCTATCATTTTTCCCTGATTCTTTCTGCCAAAAACCACATTTTGTGATACAAAGTGCAAGTTGTTTACCTTCCCCATCTGAAGCCCAGAGGCTAGGAATTGAAGACAGAACGGGAAAGACTACAGTTTGAACTTAAAAAAAATTCCATCATAAAAAGCAGATAAATAACATTTAGTACTGAAATAAGAACATAAAATAACATTAATTTCTTAAACATTTTGTAAATTAGCACAGTAGAGTCTTGAAGGCAGCTCAAACTTGGCATCAAGAGTGCCCAAGGAAACCAGGAGATTGAAGTTTTGTGTACATAACACAGTGTCTTATGCCTAGCTTTTAAAACTTTAATTTATGCTGTGGAAACTAACTTCCATGCCAACAAAAGAGCTAAGACTGCGTCTTCTAAGTGACAGACAACGGTTTATGTTTTGGTCAGTCCCTCCTTTACTACCCACTCCCCCCCCCGCTTCTCCCTAGTCACATAGCACTCTTCTCTAGCTTAAGATAAAACCCAAGTTTGTATACTGAAGCAAAAGTGTGATCAGATTCTAGCCATCTAGATCGTTTGATATTTTTCAAACCACCCCTTCCCAGCCCCACGCGTCCTTGAGCTGCTGAGGCAGGTCCCAAAGGTCAAGCAGTCTCAAAAGAGAAGCCTTGAGTGTTTTCTTAAGGCCCAGTTTGAAGTTTTTAGCTAACTTGATAGAGGTATGTTTTTTAGTTTAAGAGTAAAAAGCAAATCGCTCACATGAGTTACATCACTAAAGAAGTCAAGGCTTTTGGCAAAGTAACACATCTTGTGATAATCAAACAATTTAAAAAAAAAAGATTATTTGTTATCACTGATAGCTCTCTAAAAGCAGGCATTAGCTAGCCTACTGAAAAGGTGGCTATTTCCCCTTGTTTTAGCTCAGCACTACCAACATAGAACCTGTATATATCATCCTACTAGTCAGGAACAGCAGCTTGGAGAAATATTAGCATACCACATACAGAACAGAAGCATACAGTCTACCAGACTCTACACACTAAGAACATTTCATCCTTCAAGGCCTTTTTAACAGGTTTTGTTTAGCTGATAATCAATTATCACATAGGAATTTTATAAACAATATTGAACCCCCACCCCCCCGGTTGATATATTAAGGCCACCCAGAACAGAGCACGGCCTTCTTACTTCTTAAGTAGCACAATCTCTTCTTTCAGAAGGACAGCTGTCCCCTTACAGATACCCATAAAACAGCATTTAATTATTTTTAGGACCTCTCCTGGGACACATCAGACAAACATCAGTTGCACAGACAAGCCATATAAATATTAGATCCTGAGAAACCACTGACTTACAGCTACCGCCATAACCAGCCAGCCTTACTAGCCTTGGCCAATTCAAAATTTAATTACCACCCTCAGAGCAGACAAGACATCTTTTTACCTTAGTTTTAGGGAAAACCACAACTCATTTCCTCCTCCCCGCCTGAGGGGTGAAGGAAGAACAGAGCTTTAGAAGAAAGACAGAGAAGTCTTTATAATCTACTCACTCCCTCGTTTTGCTCTCTAGCACACACCTGCAACCCTAACTAAAACCTGCCCTATCAGTGGTTCTCACTGGGAAATTATCAGTCTCAAGTAGGAACAGCTGCTAAAGGCTAAGACACACCAGATGGTTATTTATGCCAGACC